TGCATTTCAACAGACCATGGGTGGGCCACGTGCCTTTTTTTTTTTTTTTTTTTTTTTTTTTTTTTTTTTTTTTCGGCCCACGTCCTTTCCCTCCTCATATTTGATTTCATTCATCTAGTCCTATCAGGATTCAAACTCAGGTGTGGATTTCAACAGTCCATGGGTGTACCACGTCCTATTCCTGGGATTGGACAATCTGTATCCTTGGGGGCCTCTACATGTCTGCAGTTATTCTCTGACTCAGGTCTGCATTTCAACAGTCCATGGGTGTAACACGTCCTATTCCTCGGATTGGACGATCTATGTTCATCGCCACACCACTCTCCAAATGTGAAAAAGACAAAAATGTGCAGGGTGCATCTGGCCATGTTCTAGTGGAAAGTTCGTTCTCATTTTGCACATTTCGAGAGTGGCGTGGCTATGCCCTTGGGGCCCTCCACATGTCTGCAGTTATTCTCTGACAAAGAGCACATTCCCAGAAAGAGAGACAACCTGGCCTTACCTTCCCCATGCATTCACTGCAGAGGAAAATCCGTGTAGGAAACAACCCAAAATAAAAACAAATAGAATACTGCAAGGCTGATAAGAAAAAAAAAAAAAAAAAAAAAAAAAACAGAACAAGGCCTGTGATTCTCCCCTCCCTTGTGAACATGACCCCCCAACCAATCACAAAGGGGGGTCTCTGCCCGCATGCACCCCCGTAGTTTAGTTTTCTACTACCTGTGCTACTGTGGGACCACTGCGAACCGTAGATCATCTCACAACCGGACAGTTGGATTACACATCCCCCCTTTTTGGAAGGGGAGAGCAGCCTGTCGTTTTGTGATTGGTTGGGGCGTCATTTTGGGGTCATGCTGGGAAGGGAGGGAGAGGCACAGCCGTTGTATTATTCTACGACTTTTTTTTTCTTTCTGGGGTAGTAAACTACACAGGATTTTCCTCCTCAGTGAATGCACAAGGCAAGGTAAGGCCAGGTTTTCTTTGTCAGAGAATAACTGCAGACACCTTTATGGCCCCAAGGATGTGGTTTGTCCAATAGGAGGAATAGGACGTGGTACACCCATGAACTGTGGAAAAGCAGACCTGAGTTCAAATCCTGATGATGGGACTACCTTCTTCCCCCGAATACAATGTACGGTAATTATAGCTGTATTCGGGGTATCTTTCAGTCTAAATACAGTTATGGTGACCCTACGTTGTATTCGGGGAAGAAGGTAGATGAACAACACCAAATAAGAGGGTGATTCAACGTTTGTCTAGTTCGGTGCCTTCTGCCGTCACACAGTTGTTCGTCCCCTGCCTTCTGTCGTCACACAGTTGAAGTGCATGTGAGCCGAGACCCCGCAGAAGGCGGCTGGGTCCTCTTCCAAAAAGGCAGAATGTGTAATCCCACGGTCAGTTTATGAGATGATCAAGGGTTGGCAGTGGTCCCACCACAGTCGCACGCCATGGCACAAAACTGAATTAGGGTCAAGTCTCACTTACCCGAAATCTCAACTTCTGACCGTAGATTCGGAAGATCAACGGCCCGAAATGAAGAATCAGCGTAAGTGGGACTTTGCCCTTACACTGGTGCATGTGGGCCAAGATCCTCGGTCGGCAGGTGGTAATGCCGCCGCCAATTTTTTTTTTTTGTCGTTGCCCTACCTGTCGGAAATCCGGACTGGGATCCGGACCATTGAACCGGACACCGGACACTGGCTGTCTCTTATACACATCTAGATGTGTATAAGAGACAGCCCTTACACTGGTGCATGTGGGCCAAGATCCTCGGTCGGCAGGTGGTAATGCCGCCGCCAATTTTTTTTTTTTTTTTTTTTTTTTTTTTTTTTTTTTTTTTTTTAAATCCATCTATTGGTGGGGAGCAGCACCTGCTGGAAACCGGGTCCAGCGTCCAATAGATACAACCATATCCTCACAAATTGGCACAACCCGCCATCAGTGAGTAGGTTGGTTGTGGGAACACCATCTTCCTCTCCCCGCTGTTAGTGTCTAAGACTTCTCCTGACACATCTACCTCTTCTAAGTACTTTCTTTTTGTATTTAAACCAGGTCCAGCGTCCCATATGATATTAATGCAGAAAATTCTGGGACATCAGGGCCATCTCCCGGCTTCTGCTGCGATATCGGCGCCATTATCGGGGACCTCGCCCCACATGCCATCGAATAGTTTAGTATACTAGTCTGTGTGATTGTGTGGGACAGTTAGGAAGTCTTGATTCTATTTTATACGGACAGTGGGATGATGCATCCCTCCATCTAGGGCAGGGAGCCGTAAGGCTCCCTTTTGTCATAATGATTGGCTTATAGTTGCTTTAGGGGTCCCGTGCGGAATGGAGGGAGAGGCAATACTGTGTAGCTTACTGACCTCTTTTTTATGGCTTCGAATACTATTCGTCTTTTTGCTGCTCACGTACAGCCAGTCTCAGGGTGACTCCAAGGGTGTTTATGGCCCTCGCTCCCCTGGTCTATGGACATGCACAAAAGACACATATCACTTTCAATGTTCTAGCCGAAGATTCACTGTCTTTTTGCACATGCCCAGAATAGAGGAGGGATGCCCTTGTCAGTCCGTACACCCAAGAAGAACAGTTATATATATATGTATACATACTTAACACCAAGGCTGTGGCCTAGCCCAATTGGTAAGGCGTGCAACTGTCATTTAGGAGGTCTTCGGTTCAATCCCCATTGCCTTCATAAGGCAAGCAACTGTCAAACAACCATCATTTAGGAGGTCTTTGGTTTAATCCCCATTGCCTTCATGTACCTTACTGGCCAAGCTTGGCACCTGCCACCTAGAGATATGCCTTTTGTCCCCATGAGCGGCATTGAGCAGAGACTGTGGACGTGGAGAAGGCAAAAACAAAAAGGCAAGACGTGCAGAAGATATTAAAAAAAGGCAAAAATCGTGGAGGTGTATCTGTCCATGTTATACACTAAAATCATAAAATGCACTTGTTGAGGCAAACGGCCTAAATATGTCGAATGTATATAACCTAGGATTCGGGCCCGGTGGGGTCATGTGGGGGTGTGTTGTGTTCGCGGGATTGCCTGAAGTGCATTTTCAAACTGTTTTTGTGACTGCGGCGAAGTTACCCCTTCTTTTTTTTTTCCTCCCATACCCCTCTTTTTTTTTTCCCCACATCTTCACACGGAACACACACTGCAAACCTAAAAATGAGGGGGAGGGAATTCCTAATAGCCGACAAAAAAAAAAAAAAAAAAAAAAAAACAACAACAACAACAACAACAACAACAAAGCCCTCAGGTACTCGTAGCTGCCATTTCGTTAAACAATTGGCACTTGTTGTTCTCTTCCGGACATCACATTAAAGTTGGAAACGATACAGAGAAAGAAGAAGATTAGCAGCATGGCCCCTGCTGCACAAGCAAAGGGCGGGCACAGGTGAGAGTGAATACACGTGGAAGAGGATGCACATTTGGACAAACTACAGGCGACGAACACTGGCGATTACTTGATCTGGATTTGATCAAGCGCTTCATCCGACGGGAGCTGCAACATACCTACACCAAGGCAACTGGTGTACTGTTGAAACAGATGGCAGGAATCCCGATGGGCAAAAGCAGTAGCCCACCATCAGCATGCCTGATGTGCTCCTTTTCGGAGTTCCGCTTCCTTAGCGAACTGGGTACTTTGAAGAAGAACGTTTTCGGCATCAGGCTGTTGGATGACGTCAGCCTCGTGATCTTCGAAGGAGGAAGGAAGGCAGTACCTGTCGAGAGGATCGTTGAGAGTTTCGAGTCATGCTACCCCAGGAGTTTGTCTTTGAAGCGCACCGACAACGGAAGTGGCCAATGGGATTTTCTGGGTACCGTTATGAGTGCTGATGTTGTTTACCCTTATCTGCGTTGTGTTCAGTACTCTCGCAATGAGGCTTCGATGTGGGAATCAGACGAGT